TGTTCCATGGCCACAGAATGCACCTCTAGCCTCAGCCAGCTGTCTGAAAAATGAGTGTCCTTGGTCCTACAGGCAGTCACGCAAGAAACTGAACAGCCAATTTCTACCACTTGAAAAGTAAAATAAAAATGCATTTCCCCTGGATGGTAGGTCAGCAATGTCATTTTTGTATAAAAATAATAATTATAACAGCAACTCTTATGTAGTGTTTATTTTGTGTCATTCTTTTAAGTGCTTTACATACATTCAATCATATTGTTTACTGCAACCATATATATATATATATATATATATATGTTATTGTTATACCCATTTTACAGGTGAGAAAATAGAGGCATAGAAGGTTAAGTAATTTGCCCAAGATTAAAATGAATGGCATTCTCAATTTTTCTGTTTAATTCCCTGCATCTCCTTTGTCAGGAAGGTTGGGAGTAATTACAATGTATTGGCTGTCTAGAAAATATGGCAGGGAGGACAGAAACTTGGATATTTCTGCATCCTGAATTCATTGGTGGAATTGCTACTGTGACACATCCTGTGCTCAGTAAAGGAGGTTGATCTAATCCCTATTATTCCACCCAATATGATAATTATAGACATAAAAGTACCCTTTGCAAAAAAGAGAGGCAAAGTTTTTTGTTGGCAGTAAGTCAGTATGTAAAGTACATATTTATAAAAAAGTTCTATGTGGTTGGGAGCAATGAACTCCATTGGGTGGTTTCATAGAATAAATTGGATGCTCTGAGGAAGAATGATTTGTTTGACTGGCAAAATGCTTGAGAAACTTTGATCTCCAACCACAAATTGACTTTAGAATTCTAAAATCCTAGACCTAGACAGGACGTAAAGAGATAATTTAATTTATTTTTTAAATTAAAATAATAAACAAAACTGCTTGCTGAAAGAAGCAAATGAAAAAAATATCCCTCTTACATTTTTTAAGGAATCAAGGAATTGAAACTTCACAGATGCTCCCAAATCCATTTGTCCTTTTAATCAAGACATGTGATGTGAGCACCTACTCTGTGACTAGCACTGTCTTGAGTAATTGAACTATAGCAAGGAATAATACATGGCCACCAATCTTCAGAAACTCTATTTATTCTTGTGTTTTCTGCTTCTGAAGGTAAAAGCTCTCTTTCTTAAAACTGTCCCTATTTTTTTGTTGTTTGTTTCATCTTCTGGCATTGTGGAAAAGAATTGCTCAACATCTTACTAATTGAGACTCTGTTCATTTGTTCATTAAATTCCATTTCCTTTTCCTTCTGAGCAAACATCTAGACTACACGCCCTCACCCTTTAATGTGAATGGATTTTATGGGCAGTTTTGTGCCAATCTCCATGCCCTCTCCTTTTACCAATCTACTGGCTGAATGGAGAGAACTCCTTGAACCTAGAGGAGATCAGAGAAACAAAATAAAAAGAGCCTATCTCTGAATAACTGTGGAGTACATCCTCTTCCCATGAGCCCCTCCAAGCCTCATCAGACTGTGATGTGAGCAGGCAGTGAATTTTACCGTATTAAGCTGCAGGATTTGAGTTGTTGTCCTTTAACGACAGTTATCAACTCTTACTAATACAATGCTCCTTATCAATTTTCCTTCGTAATTTTAAAGATGGTAATCATTCCACATTCAATTTTGGTAAAAATCTGGTTATTTGGGCTCAAGCTTTACATGGTTGTTAATTTTTTGTCGTTCTTCATAGGGCCACTCCATAAGCTTCCTCCTACCACTCCAACACACTTCAACATATCCCTTTTTGCTCTTTGTAAACCTTGTCCAGTTTCTCTATTTTATTTTTTTCTATTATGGTGTTTTTTAAATTATGTTCAAACTAGTGACAAACACCCTCAATCCCTACCTTTTGAAGTTCTCTCTAATTGAACAATTTCAATGCCTTTATTTTCAGATCATAATTCTATACTCCAAAATCAAGTGAGGAATTTAAATAGAATCAGTAGACAGATGAGACCCAAAGGACCAAACTCCATCAATTCTTTCTTTGAGAATTTGAGATTATATTTAGTGAATGAATGTAATTACTCATTTCTAAAACAGCTTTGCAGGAGTACTTTGTCTTTCTTGACCATTATTCTCCTGCAAACACTTCAAAAGTTGCTCCAGTAGCAAATACACCTATCATTATGTTGTCTCTATTCTTGTCCTTACAGTGTCAGGATGCTCAATTAAGAAGGTAAGTTAAATACTCCAAGAGAATTCCTTTTGTGCAACTAACTTTCTTGATCCTTGAAGTCTTTATTGACTTTTTAAAAAATTTTCCACTTTTCACTTCACCACATCCTATCTATTCCTCTTTCTCCTCAGATTTGCCTTTTCTGAGAGTATCCAGTTCACCACTCTCCATCTCTTATCACCTCATATGTACACTATGACAATAGCATCCCAACTGGTCTCCCTGTCACCATTCTCTTCCACTATTTAATTCTTCCTGCATCTGCTACCACATGAATGTTCCAGCACCTCACCTATCCTTATTTCTTACTATGCCCTCACACAGATTTCTGCTCTTGCTAGCCAAATATGCTTGTTATCAGCTAAACAGAAATTGCTTATTTTCTCTTGCTTATTCTCTGCACTTGGGAAATTGCCTTTCTTCACCACTGTTCTTTCTATTCCAAATTCATCTCTTGCTCAGTTTGGGACTGAATCATCCCACCTCACTTATTTACTCTGCATGTAAAATATTAATTTTCCTACACTGGAATGTGTTTTGCAAATGCCCCTTTCTTTGTGCATATAATGTGTACACTACTTGAAAACAGGGACTTCAAATTTTAAAAAATATTTTTATTATACTTTATGTAGTGGGCCGTACACAGTGGGCACTCAATTAATATTCATGATTGACTTTAGTACTCTCTGGAGAAAACGTGGTTGATCAAACAGCAGTAAATATTTGAGAAGACAAGTTTAGATGGGTGCAGGTGATTTTACAAGCTCTGATCTCACAGTAATTAGGATGCTGAATAACCTTCTTAAATTGCTTATGGCTGATTTGAAATCACAGTTCTAAAAAAGGTAAGTTTTATATGAAAAGGTTTGAAGCTAATGATTATTGTTTATTAGACAGCCCCATATATTAATCAGAGAGCCTTAATATTCAACATTGTGACCTCCTATCTTAGAACAAAAATGCATGAGTAATAGAGAAATTTGAGCCAATTTTCAACATGAAATTCTCTCCCAGAAAAGAGCAACAACAATTGCAAGTGTTCAAACTTAACTGGTCACTATGGAACTATGTTCTGTCTTAACTTCATTCTGGTTTTATCAGTTCACTACCTCACCTTGGGAAATTAATACAAGGAGAATAAAGATTTAAATGTACAATTTCTAGGATATTTCCCATGGTCATTATTTAATTTTTTAGAAAACATTTGGTGAAAACCAACCAATTTATTTAAAAATAAAATGCCAAAGGGCAGTATATGCTTGAAACCAGTGGTTCTATACTCTTGTAAGCCCTTTAATCACCAAGTGGGTCAGGGAGTCTTCTCTTTTTTTTCCAGAATTTGCTTCTTTCACAACACCTGCCATTTTTCAACTTGTTACAAAAGTAATCCATAGGATATTAATCATTTCCATGTCCTCTTGAAACTCCTCTATAAACTTCTCTTCCATGACTGAACTGTTTTTCCTGTCTTTGTAGTTTGTTTCTTACTTTTAAGCCCCACAATATTAGCTAAAATGCTCAAACAAAGTATCAATTTTCCACATGATACTACCTTGGGTTCAAGCCTTACCAGAAGCCCACAAGTGTCTTTGTACTCCTTTTTTTTTTTTTTTTTTTCAAATGAGAGTGATTGAAAGCTGAACAGATTTGGATCTAATTTTATTAAGGCTTAGAGCGGGTGAGGAGAGATATCTTCTTACTTCTTTTCAGGAACCATCCAGCTACCTTTCAGAATCTCCATATAGATTGGAGCTCATAGATTACCAACCCTGCCAGATTTTATATTTTGCCAAATTAAAATCATGTACATGTTGACCATCTCCTGAGCACTATTTATTCTTTTTTTTTTTTAAGATTTTATTTATTTATTTGATAGAGAAAGCATGAGAGGGAAGAGGGTCAGGGGGAGGAGCAGACTCCCTGCTGAGCAGGGAGCCCGATGTGGGACTTGATCCCAGGACTCCGGGATCATGACCCGAGCCGAAGGCAGTTGCTCAACCACTGAGCCACCCAGGCGCCCCAGCACTATTTATTCTTAATGCTGTTTTCACTTCCTATATATCTATTGCTTTTGTACATTTCTCATTTGTCTCATAATTTCTGACATTTTCAGATTTTATTTTAAATAGTCTCAATTTTTAAAAGTATGTGTACTGTTGATGGATGAGCTAAATAAATTTGCTATGAACATATGGGAACTAACTGCACTAGTATTTTTCTAAATTTTCAAATCTATTTCAGTGAAAAATTGAGAAGAAAGTTTTTCCTACTGTGTAAGCAAGTGGAAGAATATATTATGTTCTAGACTAAATGCTTATTATACCCTATGGGATATATCTTTCAAAGATCTCAGATGAAAATCAAATTTTGAATTGCCATCTAGAAATAAATTTTTATAGATAGTGTACACATTGGTTCCTGAAAATGGTAGAAAAGGTTTCTTGTCAAGTTCCCCAGCACAAGTGTGAATGCTCTGTTTTTGAGTACTTACTAGTAGTGAAAGGACACATTGTGGCCAGCCAACTCAAATTGCTACCCACGTTTAATCATTGTAAATAAAGGAAGCGGAGAGACCCATGTTATATTTTCAGAACTGGCATGCTCAATACAGAACTATTAGTTTAAAAATACCACTGAACATTCTATTTGAATTGATCTAGGCTTCTGTGGAAAACAAAATAATAAAAAATACAATTGGTCACTTAAACATATATACTACTCATTTCATGCAGATTATTAACTTAGTAATTACACATATCATTAAAGAACAATGAAGAGTAAATATAACTTTATAACACTTGGAAAACAGTTTGGAATTGATAAATTTCCATTTTGAAATACCTATTTTTTTTTTTACAGAAGCAAAATCACCTTTCTCAGTGGAAACAATACATCTATGAAACACCTATATGTGTTGAACAGGACTTTTCAAAGGAGCAACTAATTGTCCCACTATGAAAGGAACATGTATTACTGCTAAGCTTTTACATATTGTTGAAGCATAATGTATTTTCTGAGCAGCTGGATATAGAAAAGCAATGGAGAAACAAGTACTTTAAACAAAACTTTCATGGATCACAGGGAATCAATAATGTAAAAAGGTTGAAAGAAATAATCAAAACATATTATCTAACATTCTCTTATACATTTGAGTTTCACATTTACAAGGGTGGGGCAAATTCTTAATTTTTACACACTGTGTACATCTGTCCTTATTTATATTTGTCCAAAAACACGATTTACAAACCATTTGCAAGGTGCCAGAATCAACCTTGATAAAAAATTGGCCCCCACAGGCATCTTGGTAGAGAACACACCAAAACTGAGTAATTGGAAAGAACACAAAGTGGTAATCCACAATAAATACTAGAATAGGGGCACAATCCTTACAGCAAATTCATAATATTTTAGATCATTCACAGGGATTTTCTGGTGTGGTACAGCCACGGTCATAATGTGAAGGTGGAGAAGTTTAGTCTATAAAATATACTCTTTGAAGCACCAGGAATAGAGACACTTCTGCAGGAACCTTGCACACATGGCCAAGAAGATATTGTGTATGTACAGAATAGTCTGTTTCACAACTACATTTTAGATGAGAATCACTGCAATTGCTGCTCTACCACTAGTAAACGTGAATCATTTTGCACTTCATCTGTTGATATTGTTGTTTTACTTCTTTTCTACTGCTGACACTTGCAGTTAATATTTATTTAAATTCAAACTCCAATGATGCTGTAAAAAAGTAGGAAGATGCGCACATCTTCGTATAAAGCAGGTCAAGAGATCATTTGGAAAAAATTCAAATGTGAATTATTAGCAAACAATAAAATGTGCATCTTAAAATGTGTTTTCAAATTTGTAAAACTTTTGAAATAGGCTAGAAAGCCATGAGTTCTTTAAAATCATCTTCAAAGAACTAGCAGCCTCTCTATTCATTTACTTAAGAAATGCATATTGTTTGCCTACCTACCAGTTTGCCTACAGAAGATGTGCTTCCCTATACAACTATCAGCTGTCATATGAGCTGTTGATTTAGTCTAGAGAAGTTGCCCAGTATGTTGAAGAAGTTCCAAACATTTCAATCACATTTTTTCTTAACCGATCTTCTTCTACAAACAATCTTCTAATTGGGGTGCTTCAACACTTCTTTCTTGATAATTCCTGATTTTTCAGTTATTCTGTAGAAGTTCTCTTTTCCCCTTACTCTTAATTCAGAATTTTCAAATTCAAGTCTTTAAGTTTTCCTTGTTTCAAATACCATGTAAATACTGAAATATTTATAAATATGGGGAAGATACCTCATCTAACTAAGTTTGTAGTCCAAATGGTATCATAAAACCTACTCTAAAACAAAAGGATATTTAAATATTTCTTTTCAGGAAGAAATCAAAACTATACGTTGAAACAAGATACTATACTACAAAAACAGGTCCTTCTTCCCCCCAAACCCCACTATTCTGGAAATGTAAACAAAAATTTTAAGTACAAAAGGGATTCTGTGCCTTCTACTTTGAACACTTTTTCAGCACCTCGATGTTATTAGGTGTACTTTATGCTTGATAAAGCAGAAATTCTTTATGCTCACATAGATGTTCAGAGGACTTCAGAGTTTTTACTACCAGATATCACTGGTGAAGCTAAGCTCTTTGGATGATAAAGGTAGCAGGGAACTGTTCCTGTGAAATTCCTGGGTATCTTTCAGGGTATTATTAAGTGGCAGCTGTCCATTGAGTAGTGCCAGAGGCAGGTTGCAATAAGTATGGTGGTTGCCTAAGGAAGGTACTGGCAAGGTGGTAGTTGGCATCTCGTGTTTATAACCTCTGCAACAGTGTCTCATTTGCATTGAATCTGAATGGTGGAAATCAGGGAGATCAGCTTGAGATGACACCAGAGAGGCCGAGGTACTGGTCATGGCAATAGAGGGTATAGGCTGGAGTTCTCCAAAAAGTCCTTGTTCTGCAGAGTCCAGAACATGGCACCGAGAAAGCATTTCTTTTTTCTTGATGGGCATTTCATATACTAGTTGCTTCCAAAACTTAGAATTTAATTTGCTGCTTTTGGGTCCCTTCCACTTGATCAAGGACAGAAGTTTGATGCTGCGCTTTAGTGATTCCACTTCCTGGCAATTCACCTTTCCTTTTAATTCTGTACACTCAATCAAGATCACTTTGATTTCTCCACTGACTAGCATGTTATGGAGTCTGCTTTCCAATTCGAAAATACTCCATCCTCGTCTGAGAGTATAGTCTGGAGTTAGCACGATAATAAGTCTTCTGCTTTGCTCAACACATCTTGTGAGATCTTCAATGTATGCTACAAATCACAGAAAGAGAGAAAGAGTAAAATAAAGACATTTCCAGTCTTTAAAGCATTAGGTTTGCACTCTAATATAGCAAAAGCCAGTTTTTCACTAAGGTACATCACATTTTCTTTTCTTGTGCTGCACATTTAGAAAGTACATTTCCAGGGCGCCTGGGTGGCTCAGTCATTAACCGTCTGCCTTTGGCTCCGGTCATGATCCCAGTGTCCTGGGATTGAGCCCCGCATCAGGCTCCCTGCTTGGAGGGAAGCCTGCTTCTCCCTCTCCACTCTCCCTGCTTGTGTGTCTGCTCTCGCTGTCTCTCTCTCTCTGTCAAATAAATAAATAAAATCTTTAAAAAAAAAGAAAGTACATTTCCTTAAAAACAACAATGAAAACAAAACTCTGCTTATAATACTTATTTTCTTTCCCCTCATCATTACTTACAGTGTTCTGTTGACTAACACAAAACTGACTTCTTCAGAGCTTAGGTGTATTTCAGCTATTTTTATTTATTTAATCATTTAATTCAAGGCAGGCTTCCAAATTTTATCCCAATGTCAATGTATCAACAGCTCTAGGGGAACAAGTAATCATCAGATTGATGAAAAAAGAAATGGAGCTGTTTAATGAATGAAGGGTCACTGTATTTATGGGTTTGCTTTGGTTTTTCCCATATTTTTAAACTACTAAACTACCAAACTACTAAACAACTAGGGGGTATGTATCTGAACTACTTCAAAGATAACTGATAGAAATAGTGGAAAATCTCTTCTAGAATCATAGCTTGTTTCTCAGAATACCTTTTGTTATATGCAATCTTAGGTTCTCCATGTTGCCCTTCAAACTGAGAGATAGGGAAGTGGTATGTGTGTGCCCAGGAGTTTAATTTGAACCAGCTGCTCTTTGTTCTGGGGAAGAGTAAGGGGTGAAGTTAGAGGTGGGGGATGGTGTGGAACAAACTGTAAAAGGGTAAAGGGGGAGTCTGTCAGTTGAGAAGTCTTTGCCCTACTTTGTGGAGCAATTCTGAGAGTGAGGTAAATATGTTATAGTCTTTTCATGGTAGAAAAACACTCAACTAACTCTAGATTTATTTATTCTGCGGAATAATCCTTTTGCAGTCATGCATCCCAAAGTCTTATCCACCAAAAAGGGAAACACACACATGTGTTAACAAATGGAGACTTGGACACAGGTGCGGCAACAGAGAGCTGTCTTTACTAAGCAGAGCACAAGGCCTTGTCTAATGTACAGTGCCCTCTAGCAGAAGCAGTGCTTACAGAAGCATAGCAACATTTGTCACTGCAAATCTGCCCAAGGTTACAGACTGCTTTCAAGGAGTCATGTCCAGTACATAGTGTGGGGCCACCAAACAGCCATTTGAAAAGAGAAACTTATTTTACAGATGCATATTTTACAGATATCTCTCTTTTCCAGGATTTTATTTCCACCACTAGGAAGCAAGAACACTTTGACAAGTAAAAATGAGTAAATTTTCTACACACCCTATAGATAAACAAAAAACTTTTTAAGAGATACACATAGAATTGCTCATTTAACAATTTGTTGTTACTATTGTTTTGGTTTTTACTTAATACATTTTAGGACTTTCTCATGCAGTAGTTACAATGACTATTTGTAAGGCAATTTCTAAGTGTAGAGGGAAGCTCTTAAGAATTTAAAGAGATTATTTATTCAGGGAAAAAATCAGCATTGAAATCTGGAAAAAAATAAAGTAAATAAAAACAAAACAAAACAAAACAAAAAAACCAAAACAAAATAAAAACACCACACAAGCAGCAATGGGGAAGTTATCACTCTGTAATTATCACTTAGAGAACTGGTGAAACAGAATGGAAGGAAAGGTAGAAAGTTTCAATAGAGTGGAAAAATTTTATCCCAATGTATCAACAGCTCTGACTCTTCATTTTCTTCCTTTCTTCCTGCTCCCAAAAAGAAAGAAGTTATGTGGGAAGCTTCATCATTAGAGGTTGGATCTGTAAGATACAGTAAAATAAACTATCATGCATCTTTCCCATTATTCTTTTCACCTTTCCTCCACACAAAGCAAAGCAAAACAAAACAAAACCGAAACCCAGAATTATGGCATCAGTGCAGGAGTCCATGAAAATACAGTTTTTCCAGGTGAATTATGAGTTAGTTGTTAATTTTATAGAGGAATTCTTTACAAAATAATTTACCAAGGGGTTATTCCAAGTAGTATTCTTCCCTCATTAATTGTAGTTTTCATTTAATTAAAAAAATGATCTGTACAAATTTTGTCAGGAGCACATCTATCACATAAACTATGCCTCTATGAGCAACACTTTTTCTATGTGTTGAGATGTGGTGTAATTAACTTTTTAACGATAGTTTTAAAAACAAAAGGTATGTCTATCTATACATATCTCTACTAGAAGAAAAAAAATTACAATCCAGGTGTCCACAGTCTTAAGAGAAACTATACACATACATACAAATTAATTTGATTGGGATTTATGGGCTTTGGCTTTTACTATCCTCTTTCCTGAATGGGGAAGGGAACAGGGTACAATTTTTCTTCCCATTTATATCGTTCTCTTCCTTCATCCATCTATTATACTTTGCCATTGACAGCTAAGCCAAATGCAACAGTTAGGGTTTTGGGGGCTTCTTAGAGATTCATTAGACAGAATTTGCATTTGCCTCCAGAAGGAATGACTGTCAGGACAGATCCCACTATGCTCAGCTGCACAGGGTGTGGGTGTTGAAGGGAACCTTGGATAGAGGGAGTGGTCCCTGTCTCCTGCATACTACATTGGCTGTGCTTATCCTGGCAAAGCCTAGTGGAGAGTTGAGGCAACCATCCAGATAATTCCGGCTGAAAACCTGCTGTGGAAGAAAAAAAGGTCTGAATTATCCTGGTTTGCCCTATATATACATTAATCATATGCACTGGAGTCAGTCAGTCAGTACATCAAAATTTTCCCTGGGTAGACACAGACCAAGTGTCCCAAAGAAAACATGAGCCATTTGCTTGGGCCCTGAGTTTCGTGTTCCATTTCACTTGGTGAAAAACCAAGTGGAAGTTTTCAGATGTGGAGCCCACATTTCACTTCTTGGGATGGTGATCAGTGGCTGGGCAGCAACCTCAATGTTTGAAAGCAGCTGGGGAGGTGCCTTTAAAAGCTGCCTGGCTCTAAGGAAAAGAAGGAGAGACTGTGCACTAGCTTCCATATTCTGGCTCTCTCTCTGTTTTTCTCTCTATGTTTTTTTCTCCACCAACCCCCACCCCCAAGCTCCTCTCTACCTCTCTCTTTCTTTCTTTTTCTGTCCTTTTTCTTTCTTTCTTTTTCTTTCTCCTTCTTGTCCTTTTATCTCCCTCTTTGCTTTCTTGCTCACTCTTTCTGCCTTTTCCTCTCTTGCTCTCCCTTCCTCTTTTTGTCTATCTCCCTTTACCCACTTCCTTCCTCCTTTATTAAGTCTTTACTTTCTGTCTTTTTATCTTTGGGAAAAAAACAGGACCTAGCCATCATGGAAAATACAAGTAAACTAACAAGAGACCAAACAGGTAGAGTTAATATTTTTTACTTGCTAATCTTTAGCCAGGGAGTTGTTGCTGGCTTCTACGCAGTAAGTGCCCCAAATAATTTCCCATCCAATGACTGTAAACTAGAGCATGATCCATTAAGAACATGTCCTGTTTTTGCATGGTCTGTGAGCAAGGAATAGTTTTTTTAAGGGTTGTACAAAAAAAAAAAAAAGGAATGTGATGCAACAAAGACCATATATGACCCACAAAGCCAAAAATATTTACTATCTGGACTTTTACAGAGAAATTTTGCTGCCTCTGAATTAGAGACCAATCAGGGGGTTTAGGTTTGGAAAAGTTCCAAATAAACTTAGCAGAAACAGGTATCATGTTAAGACATTGCCGGGCCATAGCTACTGCAGTCTCTGACAGCCGGTGGTGTTTGCCATGGTAGAGCTGTGGTTTTGTGGGGGACATTTTAGAAATCTTCAGAAACCATTTTAAAAAGCTTGTTACCATGAAGAGATAATAAGGAAACTTAAAAAAAAAAATCCCTACATCTACAGCACACATGAATATTCATTAAATCTTGCCTTGACTTATTCAGGCGAATTTAGCAACTGAGTACCAGGAATCCCTCAAAGGCCCTTTTTTCCAAATAAAGAAAATATAAAATATCCCTTAAATAAGCGGTAATTAAGTTATTTCTTTGCAGAATTTGATTTGAAGTGACTTATGATGACAGAAAAGACTAAAGAGGCCTGGGTCTGATAGTCTTCTGCTTCTCTAGACAAGGCTATGAAACCGTATCAAATTATCAGACACAAAATAAAGCTAATTACATTTAATCTATTTGTGATCTTAAAGAAAAAATCCCCTTGAACATAGTTTTGATAGGGGTGCCTGAGTTGGTATTAATTCATTTTTCACATTATAATTGCAAGTGCAAAGAACCTTTTTTCTTTTGTCTATACTGAGAGTTGACGGAAATTAGGAAATATTCTAGAAAGGAAATGCATTGTCACTAGGCCCTCTTTGGCATGTGTACTTATTAAAGAATGAAGAAAGGTCAACAGGAAACAAGGAAAGTGACTACCTAAAACTATTAAAAGGAAAGCAAATTCAATTTAAAAATTTCTTTCAGGGACAGTTGTATAAACCAAAATTACAGTGCATTTATAAAAGTAGAATTAGCTCTACAAAAGTGACTTGGAAACAGGACACTTATTAATAAAGCAAAAAAGTAAACTGAAGAAAGAAATAAAGCAATAAAATAGAAACAGGAAGAATGGCAGCCCCAAGAAATTGCTTCTAATGGGATGTGTAATACTTTCCCAAAAGAACTCAGTATGCTTCTAAATCTCAGGTGCTGAATCTACTGCAGATGTAGGCAGAACAAGGGAGAAAAAAAAAACCCTTACATATTTAGGAATTTCCATGAGGTCTTGCTACTGCTTACTAACCACCTGATTTATCAAACTAATCAATTAGCTACTTGTAAAT